TAAATACATATATATATATATATATATATATATATATATATATATATATATATATATATATATATATATATATATATATATATATATATATATATATATATGTTAAAAAAAAAACATAAGACAGCTCGCGAGCCGGCTCGCGAGCTGTCGAACAACTAATTTTGGGCTCGAGCTCGAGCTCGTTCGAAGCTCGAGCTCGAAAAACCCGAGCTCGAGTTCGAGCCTTTGTCGAGCCGGCTCGTCGAGTTCGCGAGCCGGCTCGTCGAGTTCGCGAGCCGGCTTGGCTCGTTTACCACCCCTACCCCCAATATTTCTTAAATCACCCATAACTCTTTGTTGTCTCCACCACTTCCTGAAACCAATAGTCCGTTAGAACTCTATCGTAATAACGTATCCAATGCATTATCCCAATAGAGTTTATAACTACGTTTCAAGGGGGTGAGTGTAACTATCGATACCACAGGGACCTTAAAATTATTTAAGCATACCTCAGGGGTATGAGTGTAATTTACCCTAAAATTTATATAGTTCGGTTATTTACCGAACCAAATCGTATATTCAGTTCGGTAAACGGTAAATGTTGGCGTACCGAAATATTGGTTCGGTATTACCGATTGAAAAGAAACATCCCTAAATTCCCTCTGGAGGGGTATTTTCGTAAAATAATACATAGTTGAGGGATGACTGTAATTACCCAAACAGGAATCGGTAATTTGACCATAACTTAGGGGGTGGCCGTAATTTGCCCTTAATTTTATTGTGTCAACCAAACAAAAAATTGGAATCAATCCATTTTTTGAAAAGAAAAGAAAAGAAAAATCAAGAATTTGTCAAATATAATTAACTTAGAAAACCATTGTCTTAATTAATTTTAATTGGCAGGTGTTCTTTAGCGGGCACTATGCTGGCCCGAATTTCGGAGTACGATTACGAAATGGAGAACCGTGGAAAAAGGTCTACGGCCCGGTTTTCATGTACTTGAATTCAGATACGAGCGATGAGCCGAGGGCACTTTGGGAAGATGCTAAAAAACAGGTTGATTTTCTTGCAACCTTGTAACATACAAATCGTATTAAAATTTTGTTTCGTTTCTTTATAATAAACCGATCGATATTTTATTTAATCTATTAGATGTCACAAGAGACCAAGAAATGGCCATATGACTTCCCATTGTCGAGTGAATTTCCTAAAGCCAATCAACGCGGTACGATAAACGGGCGATTATTTGTCCGTGATAGGTACATTAACAGGGAATTAATACCAGCTAAATCAGCTTATGTGGGATTAGCTCGACCTGGAGAAGTTGGATCTTGGCAAGCTGAAGCCAAGGTTAACTTACATTATTTCTTGTTACAAATAGTTAATTATTTTATATTAGTTCACCGATCCCTCGGTTTAATCTTATTATTATTTTTCTTAGGGTTATCAATTTTGGACACAAACCGATGACAATGGGTACTTCACAATAACAAGTGTTAGAGCGGATACTTACAACTTGTATGCATATGTTCCGGGAATCATTGGAGACTACAAACACAACGGTGATATTATCGTCCGACCAGGTCTATTTTTAACCTTAAACTCATTAAGACCGATTATTTCCGGTTGTGTTATGATATGTCTTAAAATACCGAGCATAAAGTCAAAAGGCGTTTTTTTTTTTCTTTTCTAATATAGCCCAATTTCAGAAAACCACGTAAATCAGTGGTGGGTGCAGCATAGATTCGCGGGAGCTAAAAAACTTAATATTTTAGTGTATATATTTGGCCACTGATTGATAAAATCTTGACTGCGCCACTGACGTAGATTATTATGTTATCTTTATTTGATTCACATATTTGATTATAACAGTTTCTTAGCCACTTCGAACCAAATTTTTTATTTTATTTAAATTAATATCTTTTCAGAAATCCAAATTCAAATAGGCGATCTTGTGTACGATCCTCCAAGAAACGGTCCAACGTTGTGGGAAATCGGGATTCCTGATCGTACTGCAGCTGAATTCTATGTACCTGATCCCGCCCCAAGCCTTGTGAACAAGCTATTCATCAACCACATCGAAAAGTAAATTTATATTATCTCATCAAAATTTTGACATATACATATACATAATACATATACATTAATATATTTGTACGTATAGGTTTAGGCAATACGGATTATGGGATCGATACACAGATTTATATCCTTCCGAAGATCTAGTTTACACGGTTGGCGTCAGCGATTATCGAAAAGACTGGTTCTTTGCCCATGTAAACAGGTATTTATTAATTACTACAATTTCATTTGATTTTATTATATATATGTATATGTAATAAATTAATTTTATTGCAGGAATGTAGACAAATATAACTATGTACCAACAACATGGAGAATTTTATTTGATGCAAAAAATGTGAGCAGGACTGGAAATTATACACTCAGGCTTGCATTAGCATCTGCTAACTTTGCTGAAATACAGGTATGAATATATATATTATACAAATATTTGGTTTTAATTTAAAAAATAAAAGGTATGTGTAATTTAAATAATATATTTACATTATATTATGTTTTATATTTATGGAGTAAATATCGAACCGAAATTTTCAATCTATGCCGACCCCGTTCTAAGCGATTTTCGATTTTGAAATAATTCTTTCTTTCCAGTATTCTAGAATTATGATTTTCGATTTTTCCAATGTTTGGAACTAGAATTGAAAACAAATGCGAAATTCGATTCGGTCCTTCTGATCTCAACTTTTACCCATAAAATTTTATTGTTTTTAGGGTAAATGGCACGTTACCCCCTACAAATTTCTAATTTTATCGCACTTTACTCCCTCAAAATTTGGAAATGTGAGTGTCCCCCTTCAAAATGTTATTCTTGTTGCACATTGTCCCGATAGCAAAATTTCAATTGATTACTCACTGGAATTGAGTTTTTTTGTTGCACGTTGCCCCTTTAGATGTTATTTTTGTTATAGCTTGCCCCTTAAAAATATTATTTTTCTGCACATTGTCCCTTTAAAATGTTATTCTTGTTGCACAATGCTCAACAAAAGTTTGCTTTTAGGGCAAAGTGCAACCAAAATAATATTCTGAAATGGGGTAATCCATTTTTTTAATTTTTAGGGGGGAAAGTGCGAAAATAAAAAAATTATAGGGGGTGAAGTGCATTTTGTCCTTGTTTTTAAAGTCATATAATATAGTCTTCCCATGTGGATCGATCGACAATATTTTTCATTAAAATAAAATTATGACTCGGTCCCTTTTCGTAGGTACGGATTAACGACCCCGACGCTCGTAACCCTCATTTCACAACGGGGCGAATAGGCAGAGACAATGCAATAGCAAGGCATGGCATTCACGGGCAATATTTGTTATACAATGTTGATTTATTAGGGTTTCAACTTATCAACGGAAAAAATACGATATATCTCAAACAAGCAAGAGCCTCGAGCCCTTTCAACGGAGTCCTTTACGACTACATTCGCCTTGAAGGCCCGTTTGGAAGCCCACAATAATCAATTAGAATAGGCAAAACGGAAAAGAAATACTGCATAAAGAATTAATGATACATTGTATACATTCTTTGAATACTTATAATTATTAGTCAATATTTAATTAACTAATTAAGAGTGATAATGGTTAAAATTAATAAAAATACAATCAATATCTTATTAGAACTCTGTAATGACAAATAATTTGGGGAAAAAAAAACACCCCAGAAAGACATATAAGAAGGGACAGAGGGAGTATGTACTAAAGACACCAAGAAAACACGACAATCAAATGACTAATTGCATTTAATGCTATTATATCGTACGGGCTTGTTCGCTATATTGGATTAGATGAGATTGATAAACTCCCTACTAATTAATTAATTATTTAGTCTGTAGTATGTTCAATTTTTTAGATTAGATCTATTAAATTTGTTGAATTCGGTTATTATACACGAATTGTCTATAAAACCACTTCATTTATAATAATAAGTTAAGGATAAAATTGTCTTTTTCATTTTTTATCACCCCTTAATTAATCACATATGGGAGGGGTGTTACTTTTTATAGCCGACTTTAATTTTAGTAGCGAGTTTGAAAAAATGTGAATCTTACCACGGACAAGTTATTAGCCCGTACCATTAAATCAGTAGGACCTTATAACAGTAACCAAACGAGTCCTTACCGGACCATAATAATTAAATAAATTTATCTAAAATATTTATAAGGCAAAAATAATTTATTTGCTTTTACATCCAGTAAGCCAACTGTCCAAATTCATTTAATACATTAAAAAAAAAAAGAAAAAAAGAAAAAGAAAATAACAGTTTATGAGCACACATTTGTTAAGGTCAACGAGTGGTGACTAGTGATGACTCATCTCCTATCGCCACCTGTCCAAACTGCAAAGATAAAATATTTAATTTTCTTGTTATCTATAAGTGTCTAAAAGAACTAATAATTACAAAATTTATCTCTACTTAAATAAAGAAATAAAAAGTAAAAACCACCACATTATATAAGTATGTCTTGCTAGTTGCTACTAATTGCATCTCAAAATCTTCTAGTTACCTGGTCTTGTTATCTTGTAATAATCTCCAAATATGAGGAGCTCCAACAACCTAGTCTTGAGTGCTCTTTTCTTGATGGTGCTTCTCTTCGTCAATGGTAATTTAGCTCTCCCGACAGAGTCAATATACGGTCGGGGGCCATGCCCCCTAACATTTCCCAAATAGATATAATAATATAGTTTTTTTTTGTACAATAGTACTAAGGGCCCCTCCCTCAGATTTTTTTAATGCATTCGTTCCCCTGGACTTAAAATTCTGGTTCTGTCATTGTTGATCTTCACCTTATTTATAAAATCTAAAAATACACACATTATATATTAAAAATTTCTAATTACCATTTTATTTCTGTTATATATATATATATATATATATATATATATATATATATATATATATATATATATATATATATATATTTAAAAAATAATTATCATAAAAATTGTTGTTAGTTTAATTTTTGTGTAAATTAGTGCAGACATTGGATTAGCGAATGGTGCAGGGGGAGAGATGCGTATGCAGAGGAGCACAACTTACAAAGGTTTAATATGTATTCCTAAAAAGTGTAAGAGCGCGTGCAAATCGGAGAATTGGGTAAATGGATTTTGCGCTGGCAAAATACTTAGTTGTAAGAAACGTGTTTGTTTCTGCTCTACTATTTAAGTGTGATCTCTTATTTATAACACCATGGCACTTGTATCAATAATTAATGGTGTTATTATGTACACACATTGGCAATAATTTGATAAGGGTAAACAACATAAAAACCCGCTGTATTGTAATAAAACTGTACCAGATTTCCGTATGTTCTTTTTATTGCGTAAACCTCTCCTGTATGTTTCATTTCTTCTTGTATGAAATACTTATTTCCGTTAATAGTTAACGCTGTTAAGTATAGAAAAGGATTTTCTGCATTTTGTAACATAGCTACACAAGGGGGTCTATGCAATATTGATTTATTTATTTAACATTCAAATTATTTTCTTACATTAAGTCGAATACATGTATGAATTTAAAATATGAAAACTAAAAAAATAATATTCGAGATGGAAGTTGAAACAAGTTCATAAATTACTTATGTTATGTTCACGTATAATTAATCCAGAATAAATTATAAAAATATATCATAATTCTAATAACTTTATATATATTTTATAAAAAATCTAAAAATTAAATACATTAATAAATTATATCATATAGAAATTGTTTTTTTTTTTAAAACATTCACCACACCTATTAAATTTCTATTTTTCGTATAATAACTGAATAAATGTGTTCAACTTAGTTTAAGAAAATAATATGAAATTTAAACGAATAAATTATTTTTTCATAAAATTTCCTTGTATTGTAGAATATCACTAATTCATCAAAACACACAAATATTAGACACACACACACACACACACACACACACACACACACACACGATATGGGATAGATAAACCGATTTATATCCTTCTGAAAATCTAGTTTACACGGTTCGAGTCCGCGATTATCAAAAGAGCAAATGACAAATAAACCCATGACAAGAGACTTAAATACACATATGTCTAGACAAAAAAGACAGTATTGCCATAAACGCATCTCCATGTCTTTTGTCGAAAAATACCCCTTATAATATAATTTTCATCCATCTATAATCCTATAACTTCATCAATATTTCACATTAACCTTCTGAATTTATGTTAAATTCTTATGTATGGATAATTGGATAATTTATAATATATACATAAATTATCTGATAATAAAAATAGAAATAAAAGATCTTATTCTAATTACGATATAACAAAAATAAAATAATTAAAATATTTATACAATATAAGAATTTCTTAGTTGTAAAATCCCAGGGGTATTTGTATCTTTGTATATCAAGTCAACATTTAAATGAATAATGGGTCAAGTGTGCCACATAAATAATTTATGGGGGGATTTGTGCTAGTTTACTTATCCTAATGGGTTTTTTTGGTATTTAGAGATTACATAGGAGTACTTTTTACAGTTTACTCATATATATTGGGCAAATGACAATTAGACCCATAACAAAGGACTAAATGCACATAGGTCTACACAAATAACAGTTTCGCAAAGAAATCCATCCCAATGTCTTTTGTTTAACATACCCGCGATAATATAATTTCCATCAATTTCATGAATTTTATTCTAATTTCAGCAATATTGCACATTGACCTCGGATTTGACAAATATATCAAATTAAATCCCCATTTTCGTAACTTTTGGATAAATATTTATTCTTTTAGAAAATATTATGTTTTCTATTTTTTTCTTCCAACCACATTTCGGTGTTAATTTTTTATTTTGTTTTTTCTCTAAATTACTACTGATATTACTGCTTGAGATAGTAATTTTATTGTATTAATTAATGTTATTATCTTGACTTTTAATATTGTTGTCTACGACCGTAATATTACTGTCTCCTGTACTAATATTACTGTTTCGGTAGTAATATTAGTAATATTACTAATATTTCAGGGCAAGACAGTAATGTTAAAAATATTTTTTTAAAATAAAAGTTTTCAAAAAAAAAAAAAAAAGTTTAACGCAGCATGGATATACTATATATTTTCTTATGGAGACTTTACAAATAAGTACATCCATGGGTACTTAATCATAACGAGGTCCAGACAAAAAAATCTTTTACAAAAAAGTCCACACATTATCCAGAGGTTTGTAAAAGACTAAAATAACCCTTCACATTGTAATACACTCCGGTTTCATCCTTTGATTTAATTTAAGCTCAATTTGACCCCAAATTTCACAAATTATTCAATTTTGAACAAAAATACAATTTTGAATATAACACAATAATATTGCTATATTAATATCCGACGGACGAAATTGTCCATAAAATTGTGTTTTGGTTCAAAATTGAATAATGTGTGAATTTGGGGTAAAATTGATGTTAGATTAAATTAAATGATAAAATTGGAGCATATTAAAATGTGAGTGGCTATTTTAGTATTTTACAAACCTCTGCATAATGTGTGGACTTTTTTGTTTATTTTTTTTTTTGTCTGGACCTCTTTCTGAATAAGTAACCGTTGATGGGTTTATTTGTAAAGTGCCCTATTAAAAAATGCTCGATTGAGTTTTCACTAATAACCCCTATATAATATGGTCTTGTTCGCTATATTGGATAAGATGAGATTGGATTAACTTTCTATTGACTAATAATTTAGTTTATAGCATGTTCGATTTCTTAGATTAAATCTTCTATTAAATTTGCGAATTAAGTATTATATATATTGTCAATAAACCACTTAGTTTACAATTAATTTTAAGAATAAAATTGTTGTTTTTCCCCTTTATTGTCACCCCAATTAAATTAATCTTTGGAGTGAAGGTTGCTATTAATTTAATGCAATAGTGGTATTTAATAGCGAACTTTAATTTTAGGGTCTATTAGATATAACCTCCTTAGACATTCAAATAATAGGGGTAGACCCAAACTTAAATTTGCCATTTTGATAAAAACCCAAACTCTTCTAAATTACATAATTACCCTCAATCAAATCCCACAAATCCCGTTACTTTACCTTTTGAAATAATATCAAATCCCTCCCTATTTTCCCGTTAAAACACTATCCCCACAAACCCACTACCAAAAATCTGCAAACCTCCCAAAACCAGAAATTTATACGGCGTGGATCGACGATTTTCTGCACTCCGACCAAGCCGCCGTAGGTACGTCGTCGCCACTCGCTAAATCGCTATCAACAATCGATATGTTGATATGTTTTGGCTAAATCGACCGCCGCCACCTCCGTCACCGTTGTCGCCGGTGGCCAACGACGATAACAACGATATTGGCCATAAGCAACACCTCCACCACCGCCTAGTCCTCCACCACCACCACATCCGACCACCTCCACCTCCAAGACCGTAAAAAACGACCAAGACCTCCGCCGCTCCCGCCTCCAAGGTCGTAACAATCAATTT